TAAGGAAAGAAATAGCTGAAAATGTTAACAAATGGAAAAACATACCATGCTCATGGCTGGGAAGAATCAACATTGTTAAAATGTCCATACTACCCAAAGCCCCACATTCTTTCAACTGACTTGATTTGTAATTCATGATCCCTACTGCTGGGGTGTAAATGAGAATAGAAATGGGATCTGCTTTCTCTCTCAGCTCCTACTGGAGAGAAACCACAGGCTGTGTACTAGCAAAACCATGTTTATATTCCCGTCTGCCTGTACGCCTAGGAAATGCTTAGGATTCCGTGTTACACTCGCATACATTTAATCATTTCTTTTCCATTAGTTTTAAATTGGATTCGTTGTTGATAACGCCAGTGGAGGGGGAGGGGGGTAAGGCTGTGGTCTGCTGGAGGTTCTGTTGAAGAGTGAGCTGGAGGGTAAAGCAGACATGGTAAATACACACTGTGGTGTGGAGGGGGAGACGCATCCTAGCAAGGTCCCGTGAAACTTTACTCCTCGGCGAGTAAACTTCCCTGAGGACGGCTCATCACACAGACAGTGTCACCATGAGGTTCCCTGTGCTCAGGATTGTGGCAGCCTCACAGGGGCCCCTTCTAGGCATTCAAGGGGCTTCTCTCTGCCTCTCAGTGCTGGGGTGTTCAGAAGTATGGCAGGGTCTCTGGAACAGTGTGCATTTGGGATTAAGCTTACAGGTTCATGCTGGTGATGCCACCTGCAGCCACATTCTTATTTTTTTTCCAGTAAGACATTGATGTTTGGGGGGGGGTTTGCTTCTACTACTGGAGTTGCCATTATATGTCCCGGGTGTAGTTCTCACGAGGCACTCACTGTATTTTCAGTCATTTAATCTTCCCAACAATCCTTAGATGATGTTGCTGTTCTCACTTTGCTACAGATGAACAACCTAAGACCCAGAGAGGTCATTCTGTGCACAAGGCTAGTACATGACAGTCTGTGCCCAGAGTCCCACCGGCTGTGGCTGCCTCTCTTTCCGGTCCCTAATAATCTTCTCACGAGTCTGCTTGAACACAGCAGCCTATCTTTAAGGAGTAGAAATGATTGGTACAGCAGATCAGTTTGAGAACATGGCCATTAATTTCTGCATGAATTCAACAAGCACATTATCCATCTCCAGCGAAGCAAGCTGACAAAATACAGTCCCTGACCCAAAGGACGTATTCCTTCCAGATCTGAAATTGGAGTAAAACCCAGACTCAAGGACATTCAACTCTGACTAATAAAAAGGCTGCCCTTGTCTTTCTGAAAAAATGGAGATAGCATTTACATGCCATAAAGTTACTATTTTGAAGTGTATGATACAGTTGGTTTGGGTATATCCACAAAGCTATGCAACTATCACTCCTAATTCCAGAATATTTTTCTCCCCCCAAAAGGACGCCCTGTGTCTATTAAGCAGTCACTTCCCATTTCCCCTCACCCCAATAACTTCTAATTAGCCCTTAGTAAGCACCTGGTAACCACCGATTTCCTCCATCTCTACGGCTTTGCCCTTTCTGGACATTTCGTACAAATGGAATCACTTGGTATATGATCGTTTACGTCTGGTTTAATTTACATAGCGTGGTGTTTTTAAGGTTCATCCACATTGTAGCATAAATCGTCACTGCCTTTTGCCTTTTTTATGGCTAATCCTCTGTTGAATGGATGAACCTATGTTTACTCCTCCATCAGCTGATGGACATGCCCTTGGCTTTCAGGTTATGTTTCTGAGAAGGCTCTTTGTTAAAAATAAAATTTTAATTCATTCAGACCCTTGGTCCTAGACTTAATGAGGGTTCCAATTTATCGCACCTGAAAAGTTTTTATGACACTAAAGTCCATCTGCGTCATTGAAGAAAGCAAACCTTTCAATGCAGCATTAAGTTGCCGGATTCTCCCATTTCTCTCATTTCGAGGCCTCAGATGGGCTGAAGCGTCCTCACCCACTGCACCCGGCTCCACCAGGCCAGACAGGAGTTTCTCTGAACCTTGTCTCTCTCCTTTCCCTTTTTATTACTATTATTGTTTTTATCCTGTAGTAGCTGGGCTTAGGGTACTATTTCCTGTATACTTATTTTTCCCTCTCTGAATTGTTGAGTCTGGCTCCGTTTCTGTTACGTGTAATTCATGGGAGACTTAGATTCGTTTCAGGCTTCTGCTAAAGTTTGCCTTTGTCTCCTTTCAGGTTGATCCAGTGTTTACAAAGGAAGTAAAAGCCAAAGTGGAAAGGTAAGGGTGGGTGGAGGCCTGGCATTTGCAGAAGAGGAAACCTGAGAGGCTGGTCCGCGGGTACCGAGTCCTGAGCTCTGTTCTAAGTTAATAATCATCTCATTCTCCCGGTGAGCCTAGGAGATTCTAGGCACTGTTGTTTGTCTCATCTGGCAGCAAGAGAACTGATACCCTAAGAGCATCACATGTCTGGCCTTGCTAGTTATCCGGGAAATACCAGCAAAAGCCACTTTCAGGTCATAATTTTTTTTACTGATAATATGGGGAAAATTGAAAGCACTTTAAATATCAAGAGTCTGGAAGAATGGAAGGAAACAGCCTTATTCTTGCACCCTGCTATGAGGGTGAACATTGGCACAGCCACTTTGGAAAGAAGTCCATCAGGGTATTGGTCATGAAATTCACTGTCTGCTGAGGGCTGGACAGCACTGGCTTAAACAGTAGTTTTCTTACTCATGTAAAAGAAAATCCGAGTATAAGTGGTTGAGGGCTGGAGTTGGGCCTCCCCTGGGACATGAGGACCTCGGTGCCTCTGGGCACTGTTCTGCCTGCCTGAGCCTGTGGTGCCCATGCTAAGGGTGGCAGGGTGGCCCTAGAACCACATCTGCCATGGGAGATGAGAGTGAGTGTGGGGCAGAGGGGCCCATCTCCCATCTACGTTAGACCCCTGCAAGGTGATTTCCTCACAGCCCCCAGGGTGCCCGGTGGGTCCTACTGGCCACCTCAACCACAAGGGGCAGCGGCCCCAACCTTTTAGGCACCAGGGCGTTGGTTTCATGGAAGACAGTTTTTCCATGGACTAGTCATTTTGAGATGAGTCTGTGAGCGATTAATTTATGGTGGTCTCTGTGCTGTCAAACCTCTCTGCTGATGATAATCTGTATTTGCAGCCACTCCCGGCACTGGCATCACCGCCTCAGCTCCACCTCAGGTCATCAGGCAACAGATTCTCAGGAGGAGGTGCAGCCTCGATCCCTCCCAGGCTCAGTTTACTGTGGGGTCTAAGCTCCTCTCAGAGTCTAATGCTGCCCTTGATGTGGCAGGAGGTGGCGCTCAGCTGGTGGTTTGACCAATGGGCGTGGCTGTAAATACAGATGGAGCTTCACCTGCTCTCTCACCTGCTGCTCACCTTTTGCTGTGTAGCCCAGTTTCTTATAAGCTATGGGCCAGTACCAGTCCACAGCCCAGAAGTGGGGACTGCAGACAAGGGGGACTGAGCTTACTGATTTTATGGGACTGAGTATACTGATTTTATCCCCACATGTAACCGGGGATCTTTACACTGCTCTGAGACGCTATGGCTGCGTGCAACAGTGTAACAGGCTGCATGCAACAGTGTAACATAACTGTAACAGTTATGCAGAAAGATCTGAATCAAAACCACCAGCGTGGTGGGGCGTAGGGAAGAATTCAGAGGAAGATGCAGATTTACATTGTTCAATGAAAGAAATACAACAGGGCAAAAGCTGTAGGACAAAATATCTGTTGATCTGGGAGTTGGGAACATGAGTTTTTGTGGCATTATCCTCTCTGTTTGAATATTTCAGTTTGTTTATGATTTCTATTCTTTTTTTTTTTTTGAGGCAGAGTCTCACTATGTCACCCTTGGTAGAGTGCTCTGGCATCACAGCTCACAGCAACCTCAGACACTTAGGCTCAAGTGATTCTCGTGTCTCAGCCTCCCCAGTAGCTGGGATACAGGCACCTGCCACAACGCCCGAGTATTTTTGGTTGTAGCTGTCATTGTTGTTTAGCGGGCCTCAGCCAGGTTCAAACCCTCCAGCCTTGGTGTATGTGGCCAGCGCCCTACTCACTGAGCTACAGACGCCAAGCCTGATTTCTATTCTTATTGTGTCTTCAGAACTGTTAGAGGAATGTTGTCTAGATCAGGCAGAGAAAATGGCAAAAACCTATCTCTGACTCTTCTGGTGTTTGAGAGCAGGGGTCTCCTTCTTTTTGTGCATATTCAAAACAGGAAGAGCTGTGTGAATTGACCCTCATCCGGGATGGGGGTGTAGTAGAGACTCAGCCGAGCAGATTCTTGGTACTGAATGCTTTGACAATGCTTCCTTTTCCATCCAGGGTACTTCTCCCAAATTTTTATCTCTCCGTCTCCAGCTCCCCACCTATGAGACCCTCTCCTGGTTCCATGTTGTTTCAGGGCCCCTGGGGTCCGGCTGATGAGAGAGATGCCTCAGGCAGACCTCCACGCAGCTGTGAAGAATTGCTTCGCTGTGGTGAACAGCTCCGTCTCCGAGGGCATGTCAGCCGCAATCTTGGAGGTAATTGTATAACTCGGGCACTGAGAGTGGGAGTATGAAATTGTCCATCTCTCCTCCTCTTATTTATGGAGGCGACGTCTTTGTCAATAAAGCTCTGTACTTCTCAAAGCCGGAAAAGCAAACCAGCGTTTCCTTTAGAGTTTAAAAGTACTTTCAAGGTTTGTCTGGGAGTTTAAAAAAAAAAAAAAATCACTGCATTTCTTACTGCTATTTTCCCGTTGCCAGCTCCAGCATAGAATAAACCTGGGTTGGCGATGCCTCTCGGACTCTCCAATGTCCTTGGCGGGAGGGCAGTCAAGGTTATGAAAGGTTGGGATGAGAAGTGGGGTGAAGGCGTGTTTTTCCAAGAAGGCTCCTTCACTTGGTCTCTTGTCCCTCTTGTCTGCATGTTCCGTAATCCCAGAATTTAATGGAGAAGAAAGGGCTGGACTCTTAAAGTGACAGGAGACAGGGATGGGGGTGGCACGCACAGGTGACAGTGGGGTGGCTGGGACCATCACATCAGCTCACCTTTGGCCAAGCGTGTGTTCCCAGCACCTCCCTGTGGCCTCCTGCCAGAGCAGGTGTGCAGGGCCAAGGCTGAGCGACATGGCTCTGCTCTCCAAACCCTGGCGGGCTCTGGCTTGGCCATGCTGCCTCCTCCTTAAAAGGTTGTAACAATCCCTGTGTCCCCTTTGCAAAAGGACTTCCCACATCTCTTCTAGCTTGAGGGTTTTGGGGATAGTGTATTTTGCCAGAGTATCTTTACTGCTCTGTACTTGGTTCTAGAGGTGTGCACTGGCATGTGTCTAGCAAAGAAAGATCTTCCTTCCCTGTTGAGATTGTTAGTTCACCACACACATCCAGACAGACTCTGAAGAGCCAGCTGGGCTGCTCCTGTCAAAACCAGCCCTTGGTGCTAAGCATGGGGCCTCATGCCTATAGTCCCAGCACTCTGGGAGGCCAAGGTGGGAAGATCCCTTGAACTCAGGACTTAAGAGCAGCCTTAACAAGAGTAAGACCCATCTCTACTAAAAATAGAAAAAAACAGCTGGGCATTGTGGCAGGTACTTGTAGTCCCGGCTACTTGGGAGGCCAAGGCAAGAGGATCATTTGAGCCAGGGAGTTGGAGATTGCTACGAGCTAGGCTGAGGCCACTGCATTCCAGCCTGGCCTGGGGTACAAAGTGAAACTCTGTCTCAAAACAACCCCTGGTACCGGATTTTCTTTATGTCGTTGAAGCTCAAGCCACTTGAGGCACCTGTAAGCCTGGGCGCCCTCAGCACACACATGGCACATGGCACGTGGGGAGCACTGGGTAACAAGCAGGGGATGGATCCTGCCCTTAGAGGGAAAATGATTGGCTGCTGGTTCCTGAGGTCTTTGAATCAGGTTTCACATGATCTTTTTTAATACATGTACCTCTTATGTCTGTGTCTACAAAATGTTACTGTATCGATGCTGTTACTGTGTCACAAATATTTGTAATATCCAAGTATCTCTTTTGGATGCCAATTGGATGTCCTGACGTTACTGACCAAGGATACAATTTGAGAACTTTAGCTTTCCATAGAACATGGTAAAGTAGGCACAAAAGTTCTCTCTGGGGTGGCATCTGTGGCTCAAAGAAGTAGGTGCCGGCCCCATATGCTGGAGGTGGTGGGTTCAAGCCCAGCCCGGGCCAAAAACTGCAACAAAAAAAAAAAAAAAAAAGTTCTCTCCGGAAATTTAAAAAATTGCTGTTGCTGGGTACTTAATGTCTTCTTTTAATTTGGCATCATTTTAAAAAGCAAAATCCCCCAAAGGCCTAAGACCAAAGACACAGGAGAGTTGGTGGAAGCTGTAGAGAAAGCTGGTGTTCGATGCTTCAAAGCATCACAGCATGTGGCGCCGGCTTGTGACACATTCATCTTCTGCCAGATGTCAATACCTCAGTCTGGCTTAGCCATTAGTATTAATCTCCGCCGCGCTTTCAAACCTCCTTTCAACTACGATCATTGGAGCAATGCATTTTATTCCTCATACTAGCTTTAAAAATGTACATTCTTCTGGCACCAGTATTTGAACTATTGCTGAATTGCTCCTTTGTATGTAAATGTACATTTTTTTTTTCAAGTTCTTGAGGAAAGGTAAAGTGGAATCAGGATGACTTCATCACCAGTATGCACAGCGTTTCCCGCAGATGAATCGCTGTCAAACCTCATTTACTTCAAAGCAAAGGCAGCTGTTTGCAATTCTGACTGCCTTAAAATGTTGATGTTGTGTTCCTTTTGAAAACTCCAAAATAACCTTTGGGCGAAGGGTTTTGAATGAAACTGATTTTAGAGGAGTGGTGAGGGTGCATTTCATTAGAATCAATTCAAATAACCAAAGTGGTTAATCATGCAGTAAACGCCTATCACTCCTGAAGGAAGTGATCTTTTGACCTTTCAGAATGAGCTATATTTTCCCACGGAAGCATATAAAAATCCCCTTTGCTGACATACATTTCTTGCTGATAAACTCCAAAAAGTAAACTTTAGCTGGATGTGTGGGCAGCAGGGTGAATGTCCCCTCAACGACTCTGTTGTTTGAAATTTTAAGCTTATTATGGAGTTGAAACATGCAGAGAATTATGTGAAAAGAACATAAATAATTATTTCTTATCCCATTCTTCCTAATTAGGATTTTCTCCTTTTTGCGGAACACACACACACACACACACCCACCCACCCCAGGAAAGTCAAAGGGCCATCTTCTAAAAAAAAAAAAAGAAAAAAGACAGGAAGGTGAGTCTTGGTCTCTGAGCTTCCAGCTGTGGCCCTGGTGATAAGAGAACCATGTGAGGGTGTCCACATGTAAAAGACTGAAACTAGACCTGCACCTCTCTCCACTCACAAAAATTGATTCAAGATGGATAAAAGACCTAAATTTAAGACATGAAATGATAAGAATCATTAAAGAAAGCATAGGAAAAACACTTGGGGACTTATCAGCCTGGGGAAAGACTTTATGAAGAAGACTTCCATGGCAATTGCAACAACAAAAATAAACAAATGGGACTTAATTAAAATGAAAAGCTTCTGTACAGCTAAGGAGACAACAACCAAAGCAAATAGACAACCTACACAATGGGAAAGGATATTTGCATATTTTGAATCAGACAAAAGCTTGATAACTAGAATCTATAGAGAACTCAAATTAATCCACATGAAAAAAGCCAACAACCTTATATATCACTGGGCAAGAGACAGGAATAGAATCTTCTCTAAAGAAGACAGACGAATGGCTAGCAAACATATGAAAAAATGCTCATTGTCCCTAATTATTAGAGAAATGCAAATCAAAACCACCCTGAGATACCATCTAACCCCAGTGAGAATGGCTTACACCACAAAATTTCAAAACTGCAGATGCTGGCGTGGATGTGGAGAGAAGGGAACACTTTTATACTGCGGGTGGGACTGCAAACTAATACCTTTTTGGAAGGAAGTATGGAGAACCCTCAAAGAACTCAAGCTAGACCTCCCATTTGATCCTGCAATTCCATTACTGGGCATCTACCCAGAAGGAAAAAATCCTTTTATCATAAGGACACTTGGACTAGACTATTTATCGCAGCTAAATTTACAATTGCCAAAATGTGGAAACAGCCTAAATGCCCAGAACCCAGGAGTGGATCAACAAGCTGTGGTATATGTATTCCATGGAATACTGTTCACCCATTAAAAGATGGAGACTTTATATCCTTTGTATTAACCTGGATGGAAGTGCTTAGTGAAGCATCACAAGAATGGAGAAGCATGAATCCTATGTACTCGGTTCTCATATGAGGACAGTCGATGACCTAGTACAGGGTGGGGGAAGGGGAGAGCACAGAGAGAGAGGAGAAGGGAGGGAGTTGGGGAAAGGAAGAGCAGAGAGAGGGAAGAAGGGAGGGGGTGGAGTCTCAGTGTGTGACACACTTTTGGGGGGCAAGACACAATTATAAGAGGGACTTTACCTAACAAATGCAATCAGTGTAACCTGGTTTCTTGTACCCTCAATGAATCCCCAATAAAAAAAATTAAAGAAGAAAGAAAGATGATGTGACTAGGTGTCATTTTGACCTTGACTACTTCCAGAGTATGTGTGTGTGTGCGTGGCAGTACCCTGGGGAAGGTGAAGGGCTTTTTGGGTTGTTATAATTCAGAAGATGCTACTGGCATTTATTTGGGGCTGGGAGGGGGCGGAGAGCTACAGGGAGGTGGAATATCGTTCAAGATGACAGTCCTCAGTCCTTTGCATCAAAGGTTTGTACCCAGGATGCCACTGGCATTCCTGCTGAGAAGCACCCTGAACCTGATGATATGAGGTCCATGTGTACCATGTGTGTATGTCTGGGGCACATCCAGGCTGGCACCATCCCTGTGACACTCAACGGGTCACGGTCACTTGACTGCACACACTCAGTCGAGGCCATTGAAATGCAAGCTAACCATCTCACCTGCTGTGCACAATGTAAGGGTGTCAGCACACCCCCTGGGTGAAGGGCTGAACTACAACTTGAACTTTACCTTAGAATCAAAAACAATGTAACCTAAACATTTGTGCTGTCCTATTAATCTGAAATTATTTTTAAAAAGGGGGAAAGAAAGAAATACAAGCTAACCTTTCTGCAGGAAATCTAGATAAGGTGGTTTTCAGCCCTGGATGTGCAGCAGAATTACCTCGCAGCTTAAAACCATAAATACAGAAGACAGGTACGCACTTCCCCCCACCTACAGACTGTGCTGTTGTACGTCACAGCAACTCCAGTTAACAATCTGTTGTGCCCTTGGAAACTGCTAAGAGGGGATTTAAGTGTTCTTGCCACAAGAAAAAATATAAAGTAGTACGTGTGATAATGATCTTGATTTAGCCGTTTCATAATGCACACATGTATTAAAACCTCATGCTGTACACTGTAAATATATACAGTTTTACTTGCCAATTAAAATCTTTGAAAAAATGAATCAAGTGAGTTGCATTGAAATACAGGCAGGTGCTAGACACGTCTTTTGTTCTGACATTTCACTGTCCTAGTCCCAGCACCGAGTGCCGACACCAGGTCTGAACTGCTCTCTGTTCCGAGTCTATGACTCACAGACTCATCTCTGTCCCTGCTGAGTCACAGGGTGTGTCCCTTGTGGGGGCGCTCACTCCCCATCACCATCTCACACGCACACACCAGCCACAGCCGCCTCCTCATCGAGGCAGCTTCACACCAATTGCTCTGTCCCGTGAGTCTCTTCTTAGGGTGCTGCTTCTGGAAAAGGCACATTTTGTGAGTCTTCTGTAGATGTCCAACCCTCGCTTTCCACATTCCTCTCTGCTCTCTCCACCAATTTCACAGCGCAGCGCCCCAGGGAGTGTTGCAGCTTTTCTGCTGAACTGCGGTTTTCCCTGAAGGCAGGGCCCCAAATCCACCCCCACTGCCCACACAGTAGTACTAGATGGGTGGATGTATTCACAATGTTCCGTGCACCTGCTGCTGGCTGGCACGGGCTCAGGAGGCAGCGGTGCACAGGCGCCTAAAAGGCCTTGTTATTATGGTGCTGATGTCCTTGTCGGGCACAGACAAAAGGGCTGAGAAAGACACAGGAAACAAGCCTGTGGGTACGTGGGTATACAGTTGTAGAACTTGGTAAGCACCATTTTAGGCAGCATGGCGTGGCAGGGCCCAAGTCTGAAAAGTGGCCAGGGAGGTGGTGGTAGGACCTTTGGGCTGAACTGTGTCCCCTCCCCAAGTTCACGTATTGAAGCCCTAATGCCCGTATCTCAAAATGTAAACGTATTTGGAGATGTGAATGTGGGCCCTAACCCAGTATAATGGGTGTCCCTATAAGGTGGAAATTCGGACACAGATGTGCAGAGAGAGAAGAGGCACAGGGAAGAAACGGCCACCTTCCCACCAGGGAGAGGCCTGGAACAGATCTGCCCCTGACGGGCCTCAGAAGGACCCACCTTGCCCACACATTGGTCTCAGACTTCAGGCGTCCAGGACTGAGAAGATGAACTTTCATTGAATAAGTTTTAGCCTCTGATCTTTGTTACTGTAGCCCCATGAAACTAACATGACAAGAATGTGGCCTTTGAGCTGAGACCTAAATGATGAGAAAAGCTGGTCACAGTAAGATTGGTGGGGGGAGAATCTGCTGGAAAAAACAGCAAGTTTTTTAGAGTCAGCGGAGCATTATGGACAAAACACGCATCTGTTGCCAACATGGTTGGGGGGTGGGGTATGATGCTGCTTTAGACAAAAAACAGCAGCCACAGGCTGTACCACTTTACACTAGAGGAGAAACTTCTTGGTTGCAAAGAAGAGAACTTGCTTGTCCCTTGGACCTCACCTATCCTCTACTGAAGGAAGTCTGTAAAAAGCAAATCAGAATGCTACTTTTATGCAGCTAAAACATGGCCTTAAAGGAAGATAAAGCTATGGAATTTACCGCCAGAAGCCATGCCCCATTCATGGGTGGCATTGGGCTCTGGGTAGCATTAATCTTCTCCCGTCTAGATCCCCTATGTTTCAACATACTGAGTGCTGGGAAGAGCCCTGGTCACGGGTTCTCGGGCCCTGGTCACATGTTCACACCAGGCCCTGAGTCTGTCTGGTGCATGTCCTCAGGTTAGATTTAGATCGTTCTAGAATTCCATGCAGGTGATGTGTGTACCTCCCACTGCATCTGCTCAGGAATAGCATGACATCAACCTTCTGCATCTCGGCGGCAGATTCCTCCATTGTAAAGACACTTCTCCTTTGTAACTGATAAGTCCTCTGTGGGGTGGTATTTTGGGATTTGTGAATACAGATGCCTTTCAACAGATAGTAAGGTTACACCCCAATAAACCCATCATAAGTTGAAAATATTGTAATTCTAAAATGTGTTTAATACCTCTGACTACAGACCATCATAGTATAACCCTGCCTTCTCTAAACATGCTCAGAAGACTCACATTAGTCTCCAAATGGGCAAACCCATCTAACACAAAGCCTACTGTACGACAAAGTGTAGACTATTATGTAATTTACTGAACACTGGACTGAAAATTAGAATGGGAGGTGATCTGGGTGTGCAAAGTGTGGTTTCTACTGAGTGAGAATCATCATTTGAGAATCATTTACAGCATCATCAAGGTGAAAAGTCGTAAGTGAACCATTGTAAGTTGGGGAGCATCTGGACCCTATTTCCCACCAGCCTTTTACCCAGGGAACTTGATCAGGACCCTCAAGGACTCTGTTGATCTCCCTAATTTGTCCTGATGGGAGGAAGTTACTGAGTGATCATTTTCTGATTCTAAATTCTAAATTTTTAAATGTACTGTGTTATAGTCTGTGACAATCATTATTCTTCTTGAAACTGCAAAACCATCACACTGTGGGCAGCAGGATGCAATGAAGCCGGCTGCTGTGTCCTTGGGACCAGGCAGGTGAGGCCAGCCCTGCACCTTGAGCTCTCTGGGCACCCTCTTGTGGCCTCACTGCCTGGCTGTGTGTGGGACTTTGTGTCCTGACTCCCAGGCTTTTGAGAAAGGAGAGCAGCTTCATGAATAATCAGAAGGATAGCCCATGTTCCTTCTTGCTTTTGTCTGTGTGCCAGAGGGACACACTGGTCCTTGTGGTGTTCACTCTGCCTGTGCTGGAAGAAAATCACTCAGAGAACACGATGATGGTAATTAAACATGCATACTCCATAGGTCGGTGAAGAAGCGTTAAAGGAACATTCGCAGAGAGGGCTTTCTTTGTAACAGGGCAAAAATTACATCAAACTATTATAGTCTTTAGTGTTTTGGAGCTTCCAGAGATAGTAAAGTAACTAAAATTCAGTTGTATTTTGAAAATGCAGTGTTGAGATTGGGATGTCATTTGGGTGAGGTTTTTTGTGTGTGTGTGAAGTGCCTGAGGTCCAGTTAACCCAAGTAGTGATTCCACAAATGGGTCGTCATCCTACCCGAGAAGGGCTCAAACTCACCGCCCCCCTGTCTTCTTTCTCCTGTCTCCCTCAGGCGATGGATCTGGAAGTCCCGGTGTTGGCGAGGAACATCCCTGGGAACGCTGCCGTGGTGAAGCATGGAGTGACAGGGCTGTTGTTTTCAGATCCTCAGGTAAAGAGAAGTCATTTCCTTTTCTGCTCTTTGAATACTTTTCACCTGCATTTAATGAAGAGCAGCTGAGATGGCCATCGTCTTTGTGCTCTCCTGTCATGGTCAGGAGGAGCCCAGAGGGAGCATGTCCATCTTTTTGTGCCACTGGAAGAAAGCTAGGAAGTTGCAAGAAACAGGTGCATCGAATTCCATTTCTGATTCTGCCCCCAAGTTGCTATTCAGGGCTCAGAAAGTTGCTTCACCTCTTAAATGTTCAGGTTTCTGATTTCTTAAATGGGCATTCTTCAAATGCTACCTTCTGTTTATAGAACTTTCTTCGGATTTTCAAGGATGCCCATATATGTGATCATGTTTAATCCCTCAGAACAAAGGCACAGCACGGGCAGAGTAAGTGTGCACAGGGAGAAGCGCGTGTACATACCTGAAAGTAAAACAGGTCCCGTGGCTGACCGTGGGCCCAGGTGTTTACCCGGTGCCGTCTGGAGCACCCTGTGAATGACTTCCCAGGAGTATGTGAAGGTGTTGCCCACGGTAGGGAGGTTCTGAGGATGCAGCCTCTCGTGTCTTCATGCATTTGACACCGTTGGTGACCCAGCAAAAGTATGCATCCTGGACTGAGTTGCCTGTATTTTTAAGCCCTATTTTCTCTTCTGGACAAGTGGAGCTATGTATGACTCTAAAAGTAGCCGTGGTTGCAGGTGTGTGTTGGGGTCCCACCCTGAGAGCAGCATCTGCTGAGACCTATGGAAACTGGCAGCGATCAACTGAAGAAATATAGTTAGAAGGGGTGGTAAAGAAAGACAAGCGACATAGAGTAGAATTAAAAGTGAGAGCTCAGGGGTCCATTGCCTGTGGTGGGATTCTGGCAATGGCCCAGAGTGTTCCACTCTGATTTTATTGAAATTTATTTGCCCAGAGGGTAAGATGAGGGAGGGAGCAAAGATGCCAGCTGTTTCTTGGATTGATCATATCAGCTTCTATTGTTATTATTATTAACCTTAAGGGTGGCCTTCAGAAATCTGAAATCTGAGCCTTGTATTGGGAGAGCCTCCTGCTAGAGGTCACACACACACATTTCTAGGGAGGTGTTAAGCTCTGCTAGTTCTTTGTGGAGTAAAAAACACCACCAGCATTAATCTCTTCTCTCCCCTGAGGGATCGGGGGAGGGAGGCATGCTCCTCCCATCACCACCACAGAGGATTTTCCTCTGCGATAAGGGATATAAACTCTTGTGCCCATATCTCAGAGCTTGAGCTACTCCCTTGGTCTCTGCCCCAGGCAAATGCAAATCTTCACACTGGGTATCTGCTTTGCCTGTTTAATGGGCAGGAAATGCCCTAGAAGATGTATCTTTTCTAGGACTTGCCATAATCTCTTCTATGGCCTTTACTCTCCCCAGAGTGCTCACAGACCCAGCAGGGTGTTTGTAAGCTGTAACCCCAACAGCCTAGAATTTCAGAAAAGGCAGGGAGCTTGCTAGCAATGGCTAGCTTAAATGTCAACTAGCTGACTTTTCTTTGTTCTGACTCACTCAGCTTACTTTTAGGTTTTCCTCTTTTTCTGGGGGTGCTTTCCTTTGCCAAGAATGGGGTCTTGGGTCCCCATTCTCCCAGCAGGTATGCACACAGCATGTAGCCAGAGTTCAGTAGATGCCCAGCATTACTCCCAGGGGAGGCACTGTCACCCCTGTCCCTTTTGTTAAGGCAATAGGAAGTAAAAACCTTAGGCCTAATCTTCATTCTTTAAGTCTGTAGATTTAAAAATCAGGTTCTACTTATACCATCTTTATTAAGGCACATGTTTTATTCAGAAATACAGGAAGCGATGCTTAAAAATTATAAGTTGAATTTTTGAAAATTTAGTTGTTTTTTTTTTTTTTTTTGAGACAGAGCCTCAAGCTATCCCCCTGGGTAGAGTGCTGTGGCATCACAGCTCACAGCAACCTCCAACTCCTGGGCTCAAGTGAGTCTCCTGCCTCAGCCTCCCAAGTAGCTGGGACCACAGGTACTCGCCACAACGCCCAGCTATTTTTTGGTTGCAGCCATCATTGTTGTTTTTTGGCAGGCCGAGGCTGGATTTGAACCCACCACCTTAAGTGTATGTGGCTGGTGCCTTAGCCACTTGAGCCACAGGCACTGAGCCTGAAAATTTAGTTTTTAATCCAAAGTAGCTTTCCCTTTCCCATATGACTGTGGGGCCACTCTTTTCACTATACACTTACCACAGAGTTGCAAATGAACTCCAGCACAGAGATGAAAGTCAAGCTCATGAGGTCATGGTAGGGATGGCACATAGCCAGGCACCTCCAGGTACCCCATGATTACCTTGGCTGGCCTAAGAGGCAGCCTCAAATAGGAAAGGTTAAGACCTGGGGCTTTATCTTTTATTATGTACAAAAGGCAGACATAGGTAGTACCAACGCCTTTCTTTTTCTTAGCACTACCTGACAGCCAGACTGATATCAGGATATGCACTTTTCAGTAGTTACTAGTTGCTTCTCCAAACAAAGGCTTATTACTTTTCACCATATTCTGGTACACTCAAAATCAGCTATATCCAAGCTTCAGGTCAGAGAATATTATCTCCACTCTGGCAAAATGGGCTTTCTTTTCATTTCTCCAAATGCATTTATTTTATAGCTCAATTTCAGAGCATCAAAAAAAAAAAAAAAAGCATTATAACTTTATCAGTGAGGGCCTGAATAGCAATCTCTTATAATGGATATATTAGGCAGAATAGAAGAACGAAAGCAATTTGGCTATCCTGATTTTATAATGCCTCTTGAAGATATTCCTTTTAATATTTGCAAATAGCTGTCATGTCTTTGGCACATTCAAGTCCTCTTTGCTAGTTACCAGCTTCGCATAGGTCATCAGACCCAACTTAGAGGCACGTGGGGAGTTCAGGTGCAGACTTGTTCTGATTCCAACATTTTCAGGTTATTTTCACAAAGGATGTTTAAAGAGAAAATCAGAACTCTTCTGCTTTCCGACCGGAGGAGGCTGGGTTTTTTAACACACTTAGAGAAGTGCGCTAGACACGGATGTCACACATGGTTTGGTTTGGTTTTCCTTATAGTTCAATCAGACTTTACCCAGCACTGGGTGGGAGTTATGACTTTATAACAAATATGCATCGTCAGGGACTATGGTTATATTGAGCTTACTAAGGAACTCAGGTGCAGTTAGCTGCTTGTGGGTTGCTGGTGTTGGCAAGAATAATTTTAAATGTGTATATTCAGGTATGTGTGAGAACCAGCATTGCTTTTATTAAGAAGGAACATTGATGTCACAGCATCAGCCTTGGAAAAGTAAAAAGGTTGCAGCGTGCCATCAAGCCAGATCTGGCATTAGCAATTCTGGACTTGTTTTTATTCCCCAATTGAGAATCTAAAGAATCCTGACACCACAGGTAAAGTTTAGCATGTTACACTGTACATTTAATACCACAGGTAACCTCCATTTTTAAATAGGAAAACTAATTCTACATGCGATCTGCATGAAGTGTGTGGATGATTATTAAAGGAAATCCTTTATCCTTTTTTCATTTAGTTTGTGAACCTTTTGTATAAACTATCGCCAGGGTTCTCCAGAGAAACAGAAGGCGTCTGTGTGTGTGTTTGTATGTGAGGGCATTGACTGTAGCAGTTGCTCACGTGACTATGGAGGCTGAGAGGTCCTGCCATCTGCCGTCTGCAAGCTGGAGACCCAGGAAAGCTGGTGTTTAACTCAGTCTGAGGGCAAAGGCCCAAGAACCAGGAACTCTGATGTCCCAGTGCAGGAGAGAATGATGTCTGTCCTAACTCAAAAAGAAAGTGATAGATAGTTTCCTCTTCCCCAGCCTTTGTTCTGGATGGATGAGATGGTACCCGTTCACCTTGCTGAGGGTGCATCTCCCTTAGGCTAAATATCATCTCTTCCAGAAGCTTCTTTACAGGCACACTGGGAAATGATGTTTTACCAGCTGTCTGGCTTCTCTGGGCCCAGCCCCCTGGACACACAAAATTGACTATCATGAAAACAAAACCAATGAAAGGCTCAGAAAGGTGACTTTTCCCCTGAAACCTCAGCTCATGTCTCATGGCCATGGTGTTCATGAGGCAGCTGTTCTGGTAACTGAACCCTCCCCCCCACCTTCCCTCTTCCTTTTGCTTGTGTCGGGGTGGGTCCGCGTCCACGCTCCAGTGGGAGATCACACGTCCTGCACCCGAGTGCGTGGCAAGATGATATGTGTACAGCAGATCTGGAGGCATCGTGTACCCTCCTGGCTGCCTGTTACAGACTCACAGAGCTGGCTCAGGGTGGGCCCAATCTCTAGAAGCCTCTATACAGACATCCAAGTCCCAAGAAGGTACGAGATTAAGGTGTCAGCAGGGACTATATCAACGCGTTGATTGGTCCAAGCTGCAGCAGCAAGATCTTCAGGGACCAGCACATGATAAATACACCTGGGCAAGGAATAGGGGGTGGGGGGACAGAAAACAAGAGCCAGGCATCTGCCGGGGTGCAGCAGCTCAGGTGTCTGGAGCTCACACAGGTGTGCTGGGGGGACGCGGTCACCTGGTCACATACCCATACCACATGCACCCACGGTCTGCCTCGCTGCACTCACTGATTTTGAAGAGAGGCTGGAAACCCAATTTTATGTGATACTGCTGATTTTCAAAACTCTTTGTTTTGAAACACAATCATAACCTAACACCAGAAGACAGGCAAGGGGCCCTCCTCGCAGCCCTGCTCTCTATGCCCCCCTATTTTCCATGCTGCATGGATGCCGGTTCTCTTTCAGGTTCTCCATTCCTTCCCTAGCACGTCCCACTCTGGGCTGCTCCCAACTTCGCTCAACGTCTTAAGCAACTTCATGCCCCCAAGCTTTTATCCATGCAGTTCCCTCTGCAGTGATTACCTTTCCCTGCCTTGGGAGTCACATCTTAAACCCATGGGAGTCTGACTCAAGACTGCTAACCTCTCTGGTCTGCACCAGGCAGCCACCTGAGTTGG